TGGAAGGGGGCGCTGTTTATACCATGGGGATCATGACAAAACTCAGAAACCTGTATAAGTCCTTATTTTCATGGTCTGTAAAGCTGCATCATCTTAGCTGTTTCAGTTGTTGAAACACCTGGTCCACTGCTTCCGGGGGTCTTGGTTAGTCAAACCACAGAAGCCTGGAAGGAATCCTCAGCTTTTCATTTTCTGTAGAAACATAAGCAAAATCTCCTTTCCCAAGTAACATATCCTTATACTTAAATTTTGAAGTCAAGGCACTTTCAAAATTTAGAAGTTGAATTAATTCAGCAGCATTTATAATCAAGTGTACTTTAGCAGCTGTTCCTTCCTGAGCAATCAAAAAAACTGAAAAACACAATAGCATACAGTATCCAGACTCTCTGTGTATTTTCCATCTTTGCATGGCTTATTTATTTATTATTACTTTATTTATTTTACTTTTATTTATTTTTCTCTGAGAAAGGGTTTCTCTTTGGAAATCTGCTTGCCTCTGCCTCTGGAGTAAATCCTACCGGCGTGCTCCACTCCAACGCCGGCTTTTATATTTATTTACCACTTTGCCGTTTCATTTTCTCTCTCAATCTCACGTATATATTTAAACGCACTGTAAACCTTTAGAGGTTTTGTTCATCCAAGTCTGACTTTACTGTAAATCTTTACGTTTTTTCTGGCCACGTGTCTTATCTGTAAAACCGCGGCTGTTTTAAACTGATGTTTTTTTCCAAGATAGCAGGCGTAAGTGTGACTCCAGCTGCCGGCTTGGAGATGTCACTGCTACTTCCAGCTGTACGTAAAACTTTTAAATCGTTAGCAAAGCCTCTTAAAGAACCTTGCTGTTTTTTTCTTTCTTTTTTCTTTTTATGCCGAGTCAGGAAGACTCCATTAAGCGAGCCGCGTGAATATTGGCTTGTCGCTAGCAAAACAGAGCCCACCTGAGAAAAATGCTGCTACCAAAATCTGTGCTTCTCTCCGTTCTTCTGGTTCTAAAATTCCTTTAAAGCTTTTGCCATTCTACGTGGAAATTTAATCCCGCTCCTGATCACCATTTGTAAACAGAATCCTTTTCCTTGAGAGAAGCCTTTCTGCCAGCCTGGTTCCAGAGCCGCATCAGTCCCAAATAAACACACAGGAGGCTATATTAATTATGAAGCTGTTGGCCTTGCTTGTTTCTTACTAGCTAGCTCTGACTTAAGTAATTACCCCATAATTGTTAATCTAAGTATTTCTCTTACCAGAGAAGTTTCTGGGCTTCCTACCCCATGGCGTTACATCTTGACCCCTGTGTTTCTCTTTCCCAGAGTTCTCCTGGACTCCTAGTCCCACCTATCTAGATTCCTATTGGCCAGCAGTGCTTTATTGACAAATGCACAGGACTTCCCCCCAACAGTTTCTATTTCAGCTTTCAATCCTTCAACTGTTTGAGTTGTTTCCTTCATTTGTTTGGTTGTTTTTTCTTGGTGCTCTTTAGATTCTTTGAGAGATTTGTTTATTTCTTGAATTTTTCCCCCATTTCATGGATTTTTTTTTATTTCTTTAAAGGATATCCTCGTTTCCTCTTTGAGGGTCTCTATCATCTTCATAAAATAATTTTTAAAGTCTGTCTCCTCTGCTTCGTCTATGTAGTCCTTTTCAGGTCTTGCTGGTGTTCGTTCCCTAGATTCTGGTGGAGTCATGTTGGTCTCTCTATTGCTGAGTGAGCTCTTATTCTGTCTTCTTCCCATCTCTTCTTCCAGTGGGTGCTGGTGGGGTCTATCTGTCTCCATTGGTCTCCTTCCTTCCTGAAGCTGAAGCTGGGGATACTGACACTGAAGCTTAAGCTGAAGCTGGGGTTGCCGGAGGTTGGGGCCTGGAAGGGCTAATGTCATTCCTGAAGCTGGGCTCACCGGAGTTTGGGGCCTGTAAGGGCTGATGTCTTTCCTGAAACTGGGCTTGCCGGAGTTTGGGGGCTGGAAGGGCTGATGTCCCTCCCATAACTTTCATGTGATTCTGCTTCACTCAGTTATGAAGATGAACAAAGAAGAGCCCAAACACAGATGTTTAGGTATATTTGTTTACACTGTGTAAATATGTACCTATGTTTTTCCTCACTTGCCTAAGGCAACTGATTAGCTTAATAAAGAGTTGAATGCCCAATAGCTAAACAGGAGAGAATAGGTGGGACTTTCTGGCAGAGAGAGGAATGCAGGGATAGTATCTGGTGGGGCAGGAGAAGCCCTTGAGACACAGAGAGAGTTGGACATACAGAGGAGAGATATAGAGCCATGTGGGAGAAAGCAGACTGACAGAAACAGGTTAATTTACGTTGTAAGAACTAGTTGGTAACAAGCATAAGGTAAAGACTCTAATAATTAATAATAAATCTGTGTCATCATTTGTGGATTGATGAAATTCCAACAAGAAATACTTGATACACACAGAACTGATTTGAATTATTAGCTCTGGGTGCGGACCACAAAATGTGCATGGTTTTAAAGTGTCTGTTTCTTATGTTGAATATGACCAGCATATTGATCTTCTATTCCTTCACTTATGCTAAGAAAGGAGTTAAATAAGTAACTTCAAGAAAAAGAAAAGAAAAACCTTGTTGCTGTGCATGGTAGCACATATTTTTAACCCCAGCACTCAGGAGGCAGAGGAGTTCAAGAATATCCTATTGTAGATAGAAATTTCCAGACCAGCCTTGTCTCTGAACAAAACTAAAAATACAGAATTTGTAATACTATCAAGAAAATCTAGAAAAGGAAACTGACTAAGTAAAGTTGTGTCATGATAAATAAAAATTCATTTTGTGGGAAGGAATATGTAAGATAATTTTAATTGAAAAACACAACAGAAAATGGTAAATGCACACAATAAAATTAATTTTAAAAGACTGTTGATTTATAGTCAAACCATAGTTTAAGTAGTAAAATTTAGCCTATTTAAGTCATTGGTCATATTTAAGATAAAATGCAATGGTCTTCCTCTTTAGGAGTTCTATCTGCTTGTTGTTTGGGAGCCAAGTTATTAAATGGTATCAGTTCATCATTATCTACAGAGCAGAAGGAACATCACTATTCAAACATTGGGAGAAAATGAAAATGATTTTAAAGTTTGTGGATCAGTAAGTAACCCTCCTTTGCACAGATTCACCAGGCCCTGCCTACTAACTGTTGAGAATAAACGTGAGCACGATTGTAACAGGTTCATCTCTCTGAGTATTTTAAAAGTACCTTATCCCTTTTTTTCTCATTGCAATTGTGTTTGTCCTTGAAGAAATTCCCTTTGGGGCACTTGAAAACCACTTGTTGACTAGTTGCAGCAATTCTGCCTATGTGAAAGACAGAGGCAAGAGGGTCGCTTGAGACCAGAAGCTACCCTAAGTAACACAACCAGCCCCGGCCTAAATTAGTGGTAGCATAAATTATAATTTACTCATATGATCTTACTTATAATGCAAATCACTTGGAAAATAGAGCCATTTCAAGGAGCTTGTTTTGGTATCCAGTATGAGTCATTTGCTTTTGATGCTTATTGATGAATATTCTTTTATTTTCAGGGATGTGTTTAGCCCATCATGAGAGTAGCTTTAACACACAAACTACAAACTACAACCCTGGACCCCAAAGCACTGACTACGGGATAATTCAGATCAATAGCCGATACTGGTGTAATGATGGCAAAACCCGAAATCAAGGAATGGCTGTGGGAATCCCTGCAATGGTAAGTCAAGGCAGGTTTAGAGGGACAGCAAACAACTCACCCGCTCTTATGTGCAAGAGCAGAGAGGCTGTGCAGGAGTCATAACTCTGAAGGGAGCACCGCAACCTGGGGAGTATGTCTTGACTGTTAGTCATTCTTTGCATGGTGGTGGTGGCAAATGTCTTTAATCCCAGCACTCGGGAGGCAGAGGCAGGCGGATCTCTACAAGAGCAAGTTCCAGGACAGCCTCCAAAACTACAGAGAAACACTGTCTTGGAACCTCCCGCCACTGTCAAAAAAATAGTTATAGTTATTCACATCAAAATTAGCCAAGGAAGACATTAGGCGGAGGGCATAGTCTGGTGATGGCCAGCCTACCAATCAGAGAGCCCTTGGCTTCACCTCCAAAACTCACTGAATGAATAAACAATATAAATAGAGACTGGCAAGATAGTTCAGACAGGATGAAGGCCTGGGATGGTAGAACTTGAACTCATGCCGTGATAGAAGTGATATGTAATTTGTAGTGCATAAATAAAATTGGTCAATATTGTTTTATCTTTCCAGGTTAGGAACTGAACTCCAGACTTGCTACATTTTAGTCAAGCATTCTAAACAGTGATTATTAATATCTACTCTGTTACACTTGGTTGTTACAATTTTCAGGAGAAAAGAGATTGTGGATCATTCCTTGTAGTCCACTTGGCCTATCTGTAAGGCATTTTGCACACTCACCTACAGTCATCGGAAAGCAGTAGAGCTACAGGGGAGAGGAACATCACTCCCTGTTGAGTGCTCAGAGAGTTGATGGAACTGGGAACCTTTGGACATTGGTCTTCTAGTCTGTAAATCTGTGCTGTAGGTCCATGTAAAGTTACATCACGCACATGTGTAGTCACATAAAAACATGGGCAGACTTTACATTTTTACACAAATTAAATTATAATTGCAAAGCTTTGTGATATGGTTATTACTGAAAACTCCATCCGTAGTAACAAATACTGACCTGAAGTCTCATTATAAAGAGTGAGTAACATTGCAGTAGTAATATTCTGTATGTTGAAAACACCACCCTTAAGTCTTGAGGCTTAAAGCTCTCACTGCTCTCCATATGGTCACAGTAACAGACAAGGAGGCCGCTATCTCTCTTTAGCTGTAATTACGATGTAAAGTAAATGTTTTTCTTTGTCTCTGCCTATTCAAGAAGGCACAGCCCTGATGCTTACCCACACCCTTGAGTTATGGCCTCATCTCACAGTAAAGCCTTGTATCTAGAACCCCACCCCCTCGGGAAACTTGTAAAAGTAAGGACTTCTGTGAGTTCTCTGTACTCTTTCTTCTAATCCATCCTTTTTATGGTGGCTGGCGTTATCAAGAAGACATGTTTACCTGAAATCCGTCTTAGCAGCTGTATCAGCCACCATCCTTATCCAACAGTTGTCACTACCGTCCACGGCTGGGTTCCATGAAGAGAAGCCAGACACAAGAACCTGCTAGCCTAGAGTAAGTAAGGGGACAGTGAGGAGTAAATAGCAGAGAACAGTTCTTTCTGGAGGCCCCTGGGTGGACCTCAGAGCATCAGTGGGGTCCCCACACATGGACCAGGGGGAACAGAACACCGGAAAGAAGGAAACAGCATTAGGGCAGCCCTTGGAGAGTGGGAGCAGGCAGCCTGGGAGCAGAGAATTCTCTCATGTGCCCAGGCAGATGCACAGCAGAGGCCAACTATTCTGTTGCTGCTTAGACTGCATCACCAGTCATAGGTTTACAAGGTGCTAATCTGTTGTTGGTTTTTGTTTGTGTGTTTGTTTGGTAGATACTGGCACAGTATGGGCTGTGTGGCAGAAGTGACAGTGTTGCTCAGGCCTCCGTTGTTTAAAGATCATTCTGTCAGTGTTAAGCTGTTTCCTGATGCAAAGCACAACAGGAGTCACACTGTAGCTTGGGTTAAACATAGTAGGATACATGATAGAATATTTTCTTTGAATCTTGCTAAATGTTAGTGGACTAAATATTGTAACTAAAGATCTTGATAACTGTTTTGTTATATATCATTTTACTATGTTAAAGTAGAAACACTTCTTTTAATTTAGACAGAAGAGAGTTGATGGTGAATGTTCTTATGTGTATGTTTGTCTTATTGGTTGACAAATGAAACACTGATTGGCCAGGCAGGATGATAGGTAGGACTAGGAGACAAGGATGCCAGGAAGTGACACAGATGGACAGAAACTGCCACTACCTAACCATAGTGGTCTGGAGGTCTGTACAGAGGGCAGGAAGTGGTGTAGCTGGGCAGAAAGAGAATATAAGCAGGGACAAACAGGAAATCGCTCTCTTCTCTGAGGAGATGCTGAGCAGATGCGATGTAGACCCCAATGGAGGAATAGGCCCGAGCCCTTTCTCTGATAAGATAAGACCACATGGAAAAACTGAGATTATTAGAAATGGGTTAATTTAGACAGAGCTAGCCAATAAGAAACCATAGCCAGCAGCCAACAGTATTTATAATGAATGTAGCGTCTGTATGTTTCTTTGGGGCAGAGAAGGGCAGGGGGACCTATCTAGCCTAGAAAGCTCATGTTACATATACTGGTTTTGAATTTGGCATACCCAAATTCTATGTTGTTTCCTAGCAACCAAAGCATTACAGGGACCATCGAAATGGCACATGTGGGTTAGGGTTAAGTCCTTCTGCTTGTTCCCACAAGAAGTCACTGACCCAGGAGACAAGAAGCAGCCACATGAGGGTGGTCTGTGTCCCTGGGGATGCTGTGATTAGAAAGTAGTTCTCATGCCATGCAGTTTCTCATGCCAGGTTCATTTTAACATTAATATAAGCAGAGAAGCAGCACATCTCACAGCTCCAGGGGGCTCTGACCTGCAGAAGCCACAAAGCTTGTTCAGGAGGGGAAAAGGACAATGCCTGGGATTCTCAGGGACCATCTCACTTCCCCAATTTCACTCTCACTCAAGTCCGAACAAGCAAGTCTAATTCGTCCATGTGAGGGAATGGACTTCTCAATCGTAGATGGAAATTTCACCGGGCTAATTTTCTAATTTTCTGTCTTTCTTTCTTTCTTTTTTTTTTTTGGTTTTTCCGAGACAGGGTTTTTCTGTGCCTTTGGAGACTGTCCTGGAACTAGCTCTTGTAGACTAGGCTGGTCTCGAACTCACAGAGATCCGACTGCCTCTGCTTCCCAAGTGCTGCTACTAAAGGTGTGCACCAACACCGCCCATCTGTGCTAATTTTGTAATTCATCATTTTGCCTCTGAGGTTCAATTCTTCTTGAGTGGGGAGGCTGTAATGATCTTTCTCAACAAACAAACCACTTTTCATTCAAGTGTCTCAAGAAACTACAGTGAAAAAAACAAAACTAAACTAAACTAAAACTAAAACTAAAACAACAGAGGAGCTCTGAGAGTAGGCCTAGTCTGTGCCTGCAACAGACATTAGGAGGTAATTGCAGAAGGTGAGGGCATCATTCAGAAGGAGTAGGTTCCTCCCCAGGCTTACTGACCTCCAAGACAGGGCAGTGTATGTTCAGTATCCCCAACAGGCTTCTTGTCGTTGCCCAGAGCCTCATGTAATGTGGGATGTAGAACATCTCTTGGCTCCTCTAGTAAATGTGTTCTTAATGCAATCACCATTTTTCTTTTATAATACAATTCATATTTTATTTCCAATGATTTATTATAGCACTATAGTGTAGCATCAGACTTGTTCCATGCATACGATATTTTCTTTTGTCTATGAGAAACACATTACTGGTTATACACATTATTATATTTTCTGAGCTTCTATATTCTGAGTTCTTTCTAAACATTTGCTTTGATCTGTCTTTCATATTAATGGCATTTATAAAGTATGTGGTGAATTTTGGTTGATTTTATACAACCTGAAACACTAAGAGGATGGATAAAATATCTGTGACCTATGTAGGTGACATCAGAGGCAAAAGAGTACAACTGGCCATTTCATTGATAGTGGCAAGTATTAGCATCAAAATTGCGTTTCTTCTACTTGAGATGTTTTTCACAGAAAGATGTCATATTGAATCCCACATGCAGGAAGTTATGTTAGGCAGAAATCAAGATGCTCCAAAGGGCAGGTTGAAAGGGGTCTTGGTTTAGAGCTCAGAGTGCAGGTTTTATTTTATCACTGCTTCTGCATTACTGCATTGTGACTCAGAATTTAACCACTGTGTCTCTCTGTACTGGTGCTTCTTTAACTTTTTATGGGAGGATGTGAACCAAGGTCCACTCAAGCTTATAGGACACCAACTATAGATCAATGTAACAATTCACCAAAGTCCACCACAGTGAGCCAAGGAGTGTATGGGGTTTACCTACAGAGCATAGATAAGATAATACTAAAGAATCATGGGTAATTAAACAGGCACCAAATCACTGCATCCCACCATCAGGAATGACCACATCATGGAAGCTGCATCATGGAGTTTCCCCTGTCAGCCAACCTACAGTGTACTCAATAATCCCCAGGGTCACTAACAGTTGGGAAAGGGCAGAAGGGAATAATGGCTGAAATCCATGATGAGGGTCTTGGATCCTCCCTTCCTCTTCCTCCTGGAAGTGCTGACAACCCTGTTGTCATTCCCTGTCTATCTCTTACTGGTCTACTCCATCCATTGCCAAGGTGACCAGGAGAACTCTCTACCCCAAGTTCATGGTCATTTCCTGCCTGGAAGAGAAAGCCACAGACACAACTGGGATCCACATGTGCTAGAATGCAGTCTACCGCTGAGCTACCTCCCAGTCCTTCAGCTGTGCCTTGAGTGTGAAACCCACAGTGTCCAGTTCTCCTCTCCAGGGAGTAACTGTGCCTTTCTTCCTCTGGGGCTTCTCCATCCTGGGAAAGAAGAGTGCAGCATTGAATGTCTCTTAGATAGTCTTCTATTTATTTGTTTGTTTGTTTGTCTTGTTTTTCGAGACAGGGTTTCTTTTTATTTCTATTTTTTAAATTTTAATTTAAATTAAAAACAAGTTTGCTTCACATGTAAATCCTAGCTCACTCTCCCCTCCCCTCCTCTCCTGCCTACATTCAACCCTCCCTCAACCACTTCTCCAATCCCCACTCCACTCTCCAAGGAGAGTGAGGCCCTTGGTGGGGGAATCTCAAAAGTCTGTCATATGATCTGGGGCAGGTACTAGACCTCCCCCATGTGTCCAGACAGAGACAGCATCCCTCTACATGGAATGGGCTCCCAAAGTCCATTTGAATGACAGAGCTAAATGCTGATTTATTGACCAAGGCCCCAAAGGATGCTGAGGCCTCCTCACTGACACCCACGTTCATGGGGTCTGGATTAGTCCTATGCTGGCTTCTCAGCTATCAGTCTGGGGTCTATGAGCTCCCCTTGTTCAGGTCAGATGATTCTGTGGGTTTCACCCACCAAGTCATAACCTCTTTGTTCATCAATCCTCCTTCTCTGCAACTGGGTTCCAGGAGTTCAGTTCAGTGTTTAGCTGTGGGTGTCTGACTATGCTTCCTTCAGCCACTGGATGAAGGCTCTAGGATGGCACACCAGGAAGTTGTCAATCACGTTATAGGGAAGAGCATTTAAGGTAGCCTCTCCACTATTGGTTAGATTGCCAGTTGGTGTCATCCTTGTAGGCCTCTGGACATCTCACTAGTACCAGATCTCTCTTCAAACCTTTAATGACTCCTTCTATTATGGTATCTCTCATCCTTCTCTCTTCTATTCTTCTCTCCACTCAACTTTCCTGCTCTCCCATGTCCTCCTCTCTCCTCCTCTTCACCCCCTGTCTTTCTCCCAGCTTCCTCATTCCTCCCCCCATGCTCCCAATCCCCTCAGAAGATTCTGTCCTGTTCCCCTTCTCTGGGTTACCGGGCATATCATTCTTAGGATCCTCCCTGTTTCCCAGGCTTTCTGGCTGGGGATTGCAGGCTGGCACTCCCCTGTTTCAGGCCTAAAATCCATATATGAGTGAGTACATGCCATCTCCTCAACATAAATCCAGCCACACCGAACCTCTTATAAGAGAAAGTGGGAGGTACCCTTGAACAAATTGGTACAGGAGACCGCTTCCTGAACATAACACCAGTAGCATAAACACTGAGATCGACAATTAACAAATGGGACCTCCTGAAACTAAGAAGCTTCTGTAAGGCAAAGGACACAGTCAACAAGACAAAAAGGCAGCCCACAGAATGGGAAAAGATATTCACTAACCCCGCATCTGACAGAGGATTGATCTCCAAAATTTACAAAGAACTCAGGAAGCAAGTCTCCAAAACACCAAAGGATCCAATTAGAAAGTGGGGCACAGAACTAAATAGAGAATTCTCAATAGGGGAGTTTAAAATGACTGAGAGACACTTGAGAAAGTGCTCAATATCCTTAGCCATCAGGGAAATGCATGTCAAAACAACTCTGAGATACCATCTTACTCCTGTCAGAATGGCTAAACTCAAAAACACCAATGACAGTTTATATTGGAGAGGATGTGGAGAGAGGGTAACACTCCTCCACTGCTGGTGGGAGTGCCAACTCATAACAGCTACTTTGGAAATCAGTATGGAAATTCCTCAGGAAAATGGGAGTCAGTCTACCACAAGATCCAGCAATTCCACTCTTAGAGATATATCCAAAAGATGCACATTCATACAACAAGGACATCTGTTCCACTATGTTCATAGCAGCATTATTTATAATAGCCAGAACCTGGAAGCAACCTAGAGTGGATCAGCTGAATAGTGGATAGAGAAAATGTGGTACATTTACATAATGGAGTACTACTCAGCAGAAAAAAACAGTGGAATCTTGAAATTTTCAGGCAAATGGATGAAACTAGAAGAAACCATCCTGAGTGAGGTAACCCAGACTTAGATAGTCTTCTAACCTGTCCTGGTGTCCATGGGCTGCCAGGCAGTGCGTCTTCCAGATTCTCTCAGTGTTTCCCAGGTTGTAGGAAAAGACCCAGGCTGCCTTCCCTTGGTTTCTCTTTCTGTGGACACTTGGGGATTTATTTCTCCATGTCTTAAATTCCTGTTCCTCATTTATGGGTTACATCTCTCATTTTTTCATTGTTACTCTCTTTTCCATATATTTTAGGTGAATTGGAAGAATTGGAGCCCTGTGTCTGGTGCACTTCTTCAAACACAGGTTCCAGGTATATTCTACAGATAATCATGCACTGTGACAAAGCTTTGATCTTTGAAGTTTATTTCCACTGTGGGGGCACAGTCAAATATCTAATAGATCAACAGTCAACTTCCATCTTCATAGGCCTGAAGCCTACAACTCTCATCATAATTAATTCCTTCATCCTTGGAAGCAAGATGAATAAATTATTAATTATGAACATGTTGTGCATTCTTTTCCATTATCTGAGATCTCTACACAACATAAAAAGTGGCAAAATGTCTGTTTTCCACAAAAGCAGAGCGAAATCTCTGCTACAAATTATTGGTGTTTACTGTTCTAATTTTAAGTCACTTGCTTACTATATCAAAAGAAACAAAAAATATTATTGAAATTTGTCGCTGCCTCTAACTCCTGCACCAGAAGAAGTAACTTTAGAGATCAGAACCACCCCTGGCCTTTGAAGTAGTTACACTGGATCATTGTTAGTAGTTTGGCTCTGGATACTGAGTAAATATTTGCCTATTTAATCCCCAAGACAGCAGAAGTTCAGGACTATTCAAATGTTTGTAAAGAAAATTCAGTTTATTGAGCAGAATGCATGAAGCTGTACAGATGACAACTGTTTGTTCCGTGCACTGGGTGAGGAAGGGCACAGAGGAGACAGCTAGTGACCTTTATCTAGTTTCTCTCATTTCAAATTTCCCGAATCCATCTTAGTGTGTATTATTAAAGAATCAAATTTAATCTGAAAAAGTGGCATTGTTCTTGATTTTAAATAGTATGCTCAACCAATACCTTGGAGACACAACTGGCACTCTCTCATGCCAAGCAGAGTAGAACTCTCACTATTGGAAATAGAGTTGACGAGAAAGTTGGCATTTTGTATGACTTGGTAGCTTCCTTCCTAGGCTGATCCTTAGTGTGCTGCTGTGGGGTTCGGATGGTGTTGTGTCCAAGAATGTGCACAGCTCCCTGAGCTGATGACTTCCTAAGACAACACTCAGATGGATATGTTCATTTGGGTCAATTTCATTTTAATGTCTCTTTGCTTGCCCGTGACCTTTTACTTTAAGATGGAAAAGGGTTGGGAGAGAGGAAGGCAAAATTAGGAAAGTTGTTCACATGAGCTTTATTTATACTTAAAAATGTTGATTTATGGGTTGTCTTATGTAGGTCAAATTGTTGTGAAGATACACCATGACCACAGCAACTCTGACAAAGGAAAAGCATTTAGTTGGGATGACTTTCTTTTTCAGAGGCTCAGTCAATTATCATCTCGGCAGGCAAAGAGTAGCATGCAGGCAGACACGGTACTGGTTGCATCTTGAATTCAGGCAACAGGAAATAGACTCTCTCACTAGGAGTAGATTGAGTGTAGAAAACCTCAAAGCCCACCCCCACAGTGACACAATTCCTTCAACAAAGCTACACTTCCCAATAATACCACACCCTTTGGGGGTCATTTCCTTTCAAACCACCACCTGGATCCATGTCCATGTCCAAATAATACCTGGTATTCTTGACTGTTCAGTGGGTCTTGAATACCACCACAAAAACAAGGAGGCCTCAGCTCAGAAAGGAATGCACTCACTTATTTCCTCACACTGGTCTGGGTAGTGAGTATGCTGAAAGTTTTCCTGAAGTCACACCATTGAGAACACAAGGGATCCAAGTTCATTACTACTTCCATCTTTGCATCTGGACCAAGCCCTTTCCCTGTGGAGGAGATAACAATGCTGTTGCCCATAACTTTCTTTCTTTCTTTCTTTCTTTCTTTCTTTCTTTCTTTCTTTCTTTCTTTCTTTCTTTCTTTTTACAAGACAGGGTTTCTCTGTATTGTTTTAGAGGCTGTCGGTTCAGCCCGGCCTTGAACTCACAGAGATCCGCCTGCCTCTGCCTCCTGAGTGCTGGGATTAAAGGCGTGCACCACCACCGCCCGGCTTCCCCATAACTTTCGTGTGGCTTTACTTTACCTGGCTATGAAGATGAACAAAAAAAATCCCAACTTATCCCACAGCTGTTTGGGATATTTGTTTACACTGAGTGAAGATGTGTCTATGTTTTGCCTCACTTGCCTAAGGCATAGATTGCATTAGTAAAGATCTAAATGGCCAGTAGCTAAGCAGGAGAGAATAGGTGGGACTTCTGAGCACAGGGAGGAACTCAGGGATAGTATCTGGTCGGGTAGGAAAATCCACTGAGACACAGAGGAAGTTGGACTTACAGAGGAGAGGTAAAGAACCATGTTGCAGAAAGTAGACTGATAGAAGCAGGTTAATTTAAGTTGTAAGAGCTAGTTGGGAACAAGCCTAAGATAATGGGAAAGTTTTCATAATTATAATAAGTCTGTGTCATCATTCAGGGAATGGTGGACCACAGAAAGTCCAACAAGTAATACCTGACACACACAAAACTGGCCTGAACATTTACTCTGGGTGTAGACCACAAAACGGGCAGGGTTTTAAAGTTATGTTTCTCATATAAAATGATGATCAGCATATTGATCTTCTATTCATTTTCTTATGCTAGGAAAGGACTTAAATAAGTAACTTTAAAGAAATAAAAGAAAAAAACCTGGGTGCTGTGCATGGTGGCATATGTCTTTAACCCTAACATTCAGGAGGCAGAAGAGTTCAAGGACACCCTACTCTACACAGGAATTTCCAGAACAGCCAGGATTGCACAGTGAAATCATGTCCCAGACAAAAACTAAACCAATGGTCTGAAATACTACATAATTTATAATACTATCAATTAAGTCTAGAAAAGGAAACTGACGAAGTGAAGTTGTGTCACGATAAATACTAAGAGATTCATTTTGTGGGAAGGTCTACACAAAATAATTTTATGTGAAAAAGGCTATAGAAAATGGTAAATGGGCATAAAACAATTTAATTTTAAAAGACTGTTGATTTATAGTCATGTCTTATTTCAAATCACTTTGTTTTTCTTTATATTGCTCTTATTCAAGATGAAATAAAATGAGCTTCCCATTTTGAAGGGGTGTGGTTCTTTGTGAGCCAAGTCTTTAAACAGTCTCATTTCATTGTTCTCTATATACCAGAACATCCCTATTCAAACATTAGAATAAGACAAAAATTATTTTAAAGTTTGTGGATCAATAAGAATTTCCTGCTTTGCACACAGCTCAAAGGGTGGAGCCCCCACACCACTAGAGGATGACGGGAGTTAAAGGATGCTTAAATATGGTGACCGGGTTGCTCTGGACAGCTGCTGAGCTGATTCCCAGGCAACATGAAGGTTCTCCTCATCCTGGGGTTTCTCTTGCTGTCTGTCACTGTCCAGGCCAAGGTCTACAGTCGATGTGAGTTTGCCAGAACTCTGAAAAGTCATGGAATGGATGGCTACAGGGGAATCAGCCTGGCAAACTGTAAGTCTCCTCTTCTTGATCCCTCCAGATAACACCCCCTGAAGAGCAGGTACAAGAAGGAACAAGAGAGCAGAGAGGGAGCTGGAGTCAATAAGTGTCCAGGATCCCTGTTTGATTTGGTTTGATTAAAAACCTCAATGTTTGTCTTCTTCTTCAGAGATACTTTGGTGAGGGCATGGGCGGGGCCATCTGTGCCAGGCTAAGACAATAGGACCAGAGGTGCTCTTGGAGTGTCAATGGGTTTTTCAGTTGCTACAGACACAATAGCCCACAAGGGGCTGAGAGAAGATGGAAGGACTCACTCATTCAGAACTTGAGTTCTGAAAGCCTGAAGTGACTGGTATCTGTCTTCATTTCTCTTACCATGGCAGGGACCTTTTGAGAGAATATTTTTAAATGCATTGAACTTCCTATATAGGGCAGAAGGATCCTACTTCCCCCTAGTTGCTGATTAAATGAGGTCCTCTGGATTGAGAATGAAATGATTTTGTGTACTTCTCCACTCTGGGATGGTTTTATATTCTGCATAATGGAAGACAAGGATGAGGGAATGTTGTTCATGGCTGACTCCACCTATGTCATAACTAGTATGCTTTTCAGTTTCATTTAAGATGCCTAATGCTCTATAACTCATTGTCCATGAATGTGTGAACAGACAAATGTATGTGTGGATGGATGGATGGATGGATGGATGGATGGATGGATGGATGGATGGATGGATGGATGGGTGGGTGGATGGATGGATGGATGGATGGAAGGGTGGGTGGGTGGGTAGGTGGGTGAGTGGGTAGGTGAGTGGGTGGATAGAATGATGGATGGATGGAACTGCCAAAAAGCTTTTCTTGTTCTAATGTTTTCCCTATCAATATTCCTTTATCATTTGTGATAATGCACAATTCTGGAATCCAAAAATAATGTAACACTGAGGCAGGAGACTGCATGTTCTGTGCCGAAGTAGGATACTTAGTGACACAGAAAAGAAAAAATAATTCTAACAGGAAAATTCTTGTTGCTTATGAGAACATGTCTGAGGAAATCCTCATTTTTCTCATTGGAACATCTTTATTAGCTAGCATATGTATTTGATATTAATGTATAACATCCACCAAACAACTATTTGTGAGTCTATTTTAGGCAGAGATATCTCAAGAATAGATGGGGAGAGAAAAGCAATTATTAAAATAGCTATTTTTAATTTGGGAAGTAGAAGGCATGGTTTCACTGTATAGCACTGGCAGGCCTGGAACTTGCATGTAGACCTGATTGTTTTCAAACTCACACAAATGTATTAGCCTCTGCCTCCCAGCTGCTGGGATTAAAATGAGCATGATTATGACCAGTTCATCTATTTGAGTTTTTTGTTTGTTTGTTTTTTTGGGACAGGGTTTCTCTGTATTGTTTTGGAGGCTGTCCTGAAACTGGCTCTGTAGACAAGGCTGGCCTCGAACTCACAGAGATCCTCCTGCCTTTGCCTCCCAAGTGCTGGGATTAAAGGCATGCGCCACTAACGCCTGGCTTCTATTTGAGTATTTTAAAAGAACCTAATCCTGTTTATTCTCAACACAAGCAGATTTGTCCTCCAAGAGATTCTCTTTGGACACATGAAAATCACTTGCTAACTAGGTACAGCAGTTCCACCTACTTGAAAAGTGGAGGCAGGAGGATTAACTGAGACCAGAAACTACTCAGAGTAACACAGCCAGACCTGGCTTGAGCTAGTGGTACCATATTTTATAATTTAATCATATGGTTGTATTGATAAAGTAAATTACTTGTAAAATACAGCAAGATCAAAGAGCTAATTTTGGTATCCAATACACATCGTTTACTGTTGCTGTATATTATGAATATTGCTTTTCTTTTTAGGGGTGTGTTTGGCTCAGCATGAGAGTGGCTTTAACACAGGAGCCACAAACTACAACCCTGGATCTCGAAGCACCGACTATGGGATATTTCAGATCAATAGCAAATACTGGTGTAATGATGGCAAAACCCCAGGAGCAGTGAATGCCTGTGGGATACCCTGCAGCGGTAAGACAAGGGAGGTTTATAGGAACAGCAAACAACCTACCTACTCCTATGTGCAAAAGCAGAGATTCTGTGCAGGAGACATAACACTAAAGGGAGCACCAGGAGCCTGGGGAGACTGTCTTGACTGCTAGAAAGTCATTGTCATTCACATCAAATTTAGACAAGGAAGACATTAGGCTTAGGGCATACATAGCCTAATAGAATGCCCTAACTACCAATCAGAGGACTCTTCATTTTTATTTCTAAAATCACTGAATGAATAAACAATATAAAGAGAGCCTGGGAAGACAACTCAAACAGAACATTCCCTAAGCCAAGGTTTGACCCTCAGCACCTAAATAAAAGCCGAGTTTGGTAGCATGCATTTGTAAGACCTGCATTGGGGAGTCTGACACAGGCAAATCCATGGGGCTAACTGGTCAACCAGCATAGCCTAATCTGTAAGCCAGTTCCAATGGAAGACCGTATCTCAGAAACAATGTATACTACTTCTAGGGAATAACTAATGGGGCTTTCCTCTGATTTATACCTACACAAACATACTTGTGCAGGTTCACTGGTGCACATACCACCACACAGAGACACACATGTTAAATTAGTAGAAAATTTAAAAATAAGGAGCTGGTAATATTAAAACTTGGTGGGTTATTTTTTTAACCTATACTCATATGCACACATCCATACATGGACACATACTTAAAATTAATAAAGATAAATATTTCTAAGAGATTATCATTTTATAGCATAGGAAAGTTTCTGTAATATGTACCAATTAATTGTAAATGACCGTATTTATGTTTTGTCCTCAAGATTTCCATTCTAGCTGTTTACTAAGTATAGTTATGGATGGTGTTGTAGAGTCATTTTTGAATGAATTAATTTTACTATAAAGACTTCTTAACATGTACAAATGACGATATTAGTGTAATAAAGACCATATGACAGGGTACCACAAAGTCCTGGCATTTTATTCAACTGGCTTCCATGTGCATGTATTGATGCACTCTTCATGTTGACAGATTTAGAGTTAATTACTAGTATCAAATTTGTTTTTAAACTGTTTAGTTTACAAGTCCAAACCATCTAAGCATTAGATGGGCATTGTATCATCTAACAAAATAGCACTGATTTATGTATTTAAGAAGTTTACTTTTAATAAGAAAAAGAGCAGACAAGGTTTATGTCAGTATTCAGACCTGGGATGGTAGAACGTGAACTCACACCACAATAGAAGTAATATATACTTTTTAGTACATGCATTGAATGGTCAATGTTGTTACAAATTTCAAGAGAAAGTAAATTATGGAATATTCCTTGCATCCCACTTGGCCTATGTGTAAGGCATTTTACACACTCACCTACAGTCACTGGAAGGCAGTAGAGCTACAGGGAAGAGGAACATCACTCCCTGTTGAGTGCTCAGAGAGTTGATGGAACTGAGAACCTTTGGACATTGTTCTTCTAGTCTGTAAATCTGTGCTGTAGGTCCATGTAAAGTTACATCACGGACATGTGTATGCACATAAAAATATGTACAAATTTTACATTTTTTTCAGATTTTACATTTTTACACAAATTAAATTATGCTTGCACAGTTTTATGAAATGGTGATTACTGGAAACTACATCGTAGTAAGAAACATTGACCTGAATTCACATTTTAAACAGTGAATAAAATTGCAGTATCAATATTCTGTATGTTGAAAACACCACTCTTAAGTCTTATTTACTTATTATGTATACAGTGTTCTGCCTGCAGGCTAGAAGAAGCCACAAGATTATACTTGACTGTGAACCACCATATAGTTGCTGGGAATTGACCTCAGGATTCTGGAGAGCAACCATTGCTCTTACACCTGAGCCATCTCTCCAGCCTCAAGTCTTGAGTCTTAAATCACTTGGCTCCTTTTGCTTTACTGGTTATTAATTGTTAGGAAGAGTTTTATTCACATAAGGTTTTTTGCATTTTTGCAATGTTTTCTCTTTTAAAAAATTTTTTTGCTCATTTTACATACCAACCAGGGTCCCCTCCATCCACTTCCTCCTCCACTTCCCCCTCACCCCAAGTCCCATCCACTCCTCAGAAAGTGTAAGGTCTGCTCTGCCATGGAGAGTCAACAAAGGCTGGCACATCAAATTGAGGCAGGGCCAAGCCCCGCCGCTGTGCATCAAGGCTGAACAAGACATCCCACCATAGGAATAGGCTCCAAAAAGCCAGTACATGCACCAAGGATAGATCCCTGTCACACTGCCAAGGGCCCCACACATAGACTAAGTCACACAACTGTCACCCATAAGGCCTGCCTAGTTCAATCCCATGAAGGCTTCACAGTTGTTGGTCTAGAGTCCATGAGCTCCCATGAACTTGGGTCAGCTGTCTCTGTAGGTTTCCTTGTAATCTTGACCCCCACCCTTTGCTCATCTATTCCTTTATTCCTCTCTTTGACTGGACTTCCAGAGCTCAGCCTGGTGCTTGACTGTGGATCGCTGCATCTGCTTCCATTCTTTACAGGATGAAGGTTCTATGATGACAGGGTAGTCAACAATCTGATTACAGGGGAAGGCAGTTCAGGCAGTCTCTCAACTCTCCCTAGTAATCTTAGCTGGGTTCATCCTCATGGATTCCTCAATAGATTCAAGAGACTCTGTCTCCACTAAGCACCAATACATGGACACGTGGAAAATAATCTCTTGTGTACACTGTAAAGTGTCACAGAAGAAAGCAGGCTGGATTTGAAGTGAAATTAGGTTCTATAACAGTACTTGTCATTGCCTTTCAGCTTTGCTCAAGAATGACATCACTCAAGCCATAACATGTGCAAAGAGGATTGCGACAAGTTCACAAGGCCTTAGAGCATGGTATGTTAGAACTTTGGAAGAGGAAACTGCTGGTTGTGTTGACATATGCAGTGAGTCTTTCTAAGGCCCAAGGGTCCTTCTGAGCTCTGCAGGTTCAACTGGGACTGTCACTCCATCATTACTCTTAGGGAATTTCTTCAGATTGTAAGAATCCCCACTCATGACTCCTTCCTTGTCAGGCCTCCATACTATTTGTAGACTCAGTCAACTACTGTACACATGATGTCTCATTGACACTGACCATGCTATACTCCGATTGGTGTTTGGAGAGGATCACACAGTCAGTCATGTAGACAAAGCTCCATTAGAGTAGTAGTGTCTGGGTGATGCTATAGCCTGTGTTTCACACTAGATCTTAGCCCAGAACACAATATTCATTAGTGTCACTGTTACAGTGTTTCCCTCCAAATGTTTGAGTATGTGTGTGACAGAGGAGACAGTTTTAACCGTTTCTCTTCTGTCTCACTTTCCTACACAGGGTGGCATGGAAAGCCTACTGTCAAAACCGAAATCTCAGCCAGTATGTTCGGAACTGCGGAGTCTAATGCTGTGCATTCCCACTTCAGCTCATTCTGTCTCTGTAATATTGGGAAAGGTGACACATCCTCGGATTCCCCTTCAAAGAAGCAGGCCTTAAACAGAAACAGGGACAAAATGGAGACTGCTTCCTAAGAGACTTCATGTTGACAAATGTGTTCCTTTTTTAAGCAAAGCATCATTTTTTGGTTACCCAAGGCAGCAAATGCACTTTGACCGTCACACGCATCTCTATCCATCAGGTCTTCACCTATGATGTAATTCACATTCAGTTTCATCAGAATTAATCTCCACCCCCTCAGTTGGATAGACGTACAACAGACATTTACAGGAGACAGTAGATCTTGGGTAAAATGGCAGCTGTGTGAGCTCCCAGGCCTTGTCTATGGGCTCAGGACCTAGACAGTTAGCACAGCCATTGTGCTGGGCAAGGCGGGTTTGTAAGAAAACAGAACTCTGAGTGGATAGAACTGAGACCCCTCAACTCAGAAACTTGTCACAAATTTGTGACCTTCATAAAACTATATCTTTACAGTGTCAAATTTATACTGCTTAAAAAGGAAATTCTTACCTCATGTCAAAGTCAGTTTTAACTCTTGATAGAATGTTCCCACTCCTTTTGCTGATCATGAGGTATTCAGAGCAGATTAGTGACTGTGGTAGCCCTTAACTTTCTTAAAGTGTCCTCATGCATATGAACTGACTCTGAGACAGATGAGCTTGGATCAGCAAAACTAAGTTTATTGTGAAAAACTACAAAAAGTCATTAAATGATTTCAATGCATTCCTTGTCTTTGTATATTCTTCTATGGTGTCCTTGGGAGAAATTATTTATATGGTGTTAAAAAGCGACATGGTACACTTAATAGGGACTTCGTCCTCACCTATGCTTAGCCAGAACCTACATCCTCACCTACATATAGCTATTACCTATATCCTCACCTACATATAGCCATTACCTACAACCACATCTATATATAACTACCTGGGTATTTCTGGGATAAAATGCAGAAACAAACTGACCAATGTCCCTTGTCTCTCACAGGACCTTGGCAAAGTGAAACACTTCTCAGTTTAGAATCTGTTCTAACCCAGCCTCATCCTCCACACTGCTACTTCTCAAACCCTTTGCTGTCTCTGTGGAATGCTCTGGGCTGTATCCCTACTGATTTTAAATTTGCTTTTGATGTCTTTATTCTCTGACTATGCTCTCTCCCTTGAAGCACTTACTGACCATTAGTCATGATCTGAAAATATCAAATTAAAAACGCTGCAATCAAATAACTGGTTCTTGAGGATTCCGTGTCCTGTCCCACGTGTATCCCCACTGTTCTGCTCTGCTCTTCCCAGGGCATGAGTCCTCACCTTCTCCAGGGCATCCACTGTGTGCATCACACGCTTCCTTGTGACTTAGCGTCAGGTCAGGCATCTGCTCACCTTGGCAGTGTCTGAGTGATCCTGTGACAGTATTTCTTATTTTTATTTTCAGAATTTAATAACAATTCTGTCTTTTACCAGTTGTTAATCTCTCACTGTGATGGATTCCTGAATTAAACTCTGGGGGAAAATATATGGGGAAAGGTCTAATTAATGCACGAGGGATTGGATGTACTAACAGTGGTTTCCACCCCCTAATGTAACCATTAAACCTATAAAAAGAGTCTTGCATGTGACTTGCTAACCAAGAATGCACTCAACTGTTTTGCTCTACTCTGACTCAGCCTAGCAAACTATAAGTCTCCTCTTCTTGATCCCTCCAGATAAGCACCCCCTGCAGAGCAGGTACAAGGAGGAATGAGTGAGCAGAGAGGGAGCTGGAGCCAATAAGTGTCCAGGATCCCTGTTTGATTTCGTTTGATTAAAAACCTCAGTGTTTGTCTTCTTCCTCAGAGATACTGGGGTGAGGGCATGGGAGGGGGCATCTGTGCCAGGAGAAGGCAATAGGACCAGAGGTGCTCTTGGAGTGTCGATGGGTTTTCCAGTTCCTACAGACACAATAGCCCACAAGGGGCTGAGAAAAGATGGGAGGACTCACTCATTCACAACTTGAGTTCTGAAAGCCTGGAGTGACTGGTGTTTGCCGTCTTCATTTCACTTACCGTGGTATGAAACCTTTGAGAGAAAAATTTTCAGTTATTTTGAACTTTCTATGCAGAGCAGAGAGATTCCATTTCCCCCTGCTTGCTGGTTAAATGAGGTTGTGCTAGTTTGAATGTCATGGGTCTCAATAACCTCATATGGAGTGTCACTATTAAGAGCCGTGGCTTTGTTGGAGCGGGTAGGCCTTGTTGGAGGAAGTGTGTTACTGTGGGGGCCAGCTTTGAGGTTTCCTATGCTCAGGATACTGCCCAGTGCCTCTGCCAACTTCCTGATGCCTGAAAGATGCAGGACTCTAAGCTACTCCTCCAGAAACACATCTGCCTGCATGCTGCCCTGTCCCCCTGCCATGATAATAATGGACCTAATCTCTGAACCTATGCAATCCACCCCAATTAAAGGTTTCCTTTATAAGAGTGGCCATGCTCATGGTGTCTCTTCACAGAAATAGCATCCCTAACCAGGACAGGAGCCCCCTGAAACTTTATTATGCTTTTTGGAAGATTATACTTACTCCCAAGGGCAGCAGCCTTACTCCAAGTGCCAACAACTCAACAGAAACTCTCCCATTACAAATGTCAAAAGCTCCCACAAGCACACAAGGAGCAGCTTTCAAAATGTCTGGCTTGCTCCCAGTAGGCAGAGTAACACCAGGGATTCTTCTGAAGGCCTTGATGCTACCACTGCCGTCATGCTAGATGATGCAGGTTCCCCTGCATTCGTCATGGTGTTGTCTCAGGTAGGATTTCCTATAGCTGTGAAGACACCATGACCACAGCACCACTTATAGGGAAAACATTGCTTCAGGGTGGCTCACTTATCGTTTCAAGGTTCAGTCCATTATGATCTTGAAGGTGATCATGGCAGTGTGCTGGAGCTGAGAGTACTACATTTTGCAGGGAACAGGAAGTATGCTGGCTGTCACATTGAGCAGAGCTTCAGAAAAAGAGACCTCAAAGCCTGTCCCCACAGTGGCACACTTCCTCTAACAAGGCCACACCTCCTAATCATGCCACACCCTTTGGGGGCCATTTTCTTTCAAACTGCCACAGAGGTCAGATTCTTGTTTTGCCCTTGCCAGCTCTCATTTGCAGAAAGACATTAACCTTAGTGATAACATTCCAGTGTTTATGTTCCTTAACCATCTAAGCAGCCTCCTTATTTTTCTTGTACACTTCAACCCTGTGTCCAAACACCTGAGACAATTCAGGGACTTCCTCAATACAATAACCTTCAGATCTCATCCAAGCTGGAGAGAGTGAGGCAGCCAGCCAAGGCCCAGCAGCAGGCATTTCACTTGCTATGTTCTGTGGTGCCAAAGGCCCAGGTTTTGGTTGGTGAAACATGGGGCTTCTTAACATGTATTTCCAAAGGCACCATGACCAGAAAGGCAAGTTGCACCACCTCCAACTGTAGGAAATTGATCCACATCTTTGCCAATACCAGACAAGGCACTGATCTGATGACATGCTAATTCATGGCACAATGGTGCTGCCTGTTGTGTTTGCACAAGTTGATGTGAACAGAGTTCACAATGTCAGGTCAAATGGGAGCCATGAACACATCTGACCAAGTGACTTTTTTGCCAGATGAATCCCCCTTTTCAGATTACACCAATCGAAGGAAGAGTCACATGCAATGATGGGGAGAGATAGTGACCCTTCTGCACAAATGGATGTTCTTGGTACAAGTTGTTCTCAATTGCATTCTGTTTGGAGTACTTGAAAAATCACTTGCTGACTGGGTACAGCAGTTCCACCAACATGAAAGGAAGAGGCAGGAGGATTAATTGACACCAGAAACTAATCTGAGTAAAACATCCAGACCTGGCCAGATCTAGTGATAGTATATTTTGTAATTTAATCATATTATTTTATTTATAAAGTAAATCAACTAGAAAATACAGCCATCTCAAGTAGCTAATTTTGGTATCCAGTATGAATCATTTGCTATTGTTGCTTATTGATGAATATTCTTTATCTTTCTTGGGGTGTGTTTGGCCAAGCATGGAAGTAATTATAACACACAAGCTACAAACTACAATTCTAGAAACCAAAGCACTGACTATGGAATATTTCAGATCAATAGTCAATACTGGTGTAATGATGACAAAACCAGGGGAGCAGTGAATGCCTGTGGGATACCCTGCAGCGGTAAGACAAGGGAGGTTTAGAGGGACAACAAACAACCCACCTACTCATATGTGCAAGAGCCCAGATTCTGTGCAGAAGATATAACACTGAAGGTAGCATCAAGAACCTGGGGAGACTGTCTTGACTGTTAAAAAGTCATTGTTAAGCACATAAAAATTAGTCAAGGAAGACATTAGACTTAGGGCATAGCCTGGTGATAGAATGCTCTGACTACTAATCAGAGTCATTTTGCTTCTAAAAATCACTGAATGAATAAAAAATATAAACAGAGACTAGCAAGATAGCTCAGACAGAAGACTCTCCTAAGCCAAGATTTCACCCTTAGCACCCGCATAAAAGCTGAGTTTGGTGGCATGCATTTGGAAGACCTGCACTGGGGAATCTGACACAGGCAGATCCATGGGGCTAACTGGTCAACCAGCATAGCCTAATCTATAAGCCAGTTCCAACAGTAGACCCTGTCTTGAAATCAATGTGGATTACTTCTAGGTAACAACTCCTGGGGTTGTCCTCTGGCTTCTACATACACAAACACACATGTGAAGGTTTACTGGTGCACATACCAAAACACAGAAAGACACACATATTAAACCAGTAGACAATTTGAAAAATAAAGAGACAGTGTCATTAAAAGTTGATGGGATTTTTTAGCTTATACTCACATGCGCACACTTGTACAATTGGTAAGAAGTTGTTATTTTATAAGATAGGCAAGTTTCTGGACCCGGGAGTGGTGGCTCAGTGGGTAAGAGCACATGATCCTTTTGCAGAGGCCCTGGTTTCAGTTCTCAGCATCCACATGACAGCTCACAAGTATCTATAACCCTGGGTCCAGGGGATCTGGCATCATTTCCTGGCCTCAGTGGGCTCCAGGTATGCATATGGTGCCCAGACACACAGGCAGGCAAACACTCATACACATGAAATAAAAATAAACAAATGTTTGACGGGGCAGTGGTGCCACACACCTTTAATCCCAGCACTCCAGAGGCAGAGGTCAGCAGATCTTTTAAATTCAAGACCAGTCTGGTCTACAGAGCAAGATCCCAGGACAGTCAGGGCTACACAGAGAACCTTTGTCTTAAATAGTCAATCAATCAATAGTAAAAATAATTTTTAAAAAATGATAGAAAGTTTCTGGAGAAATCTATTAGTTAATTTTAAATGGCCTTGTGATTTGTCCTGAAGATTTTCATTCTAGCAGATTACTTAGGGGTCCTTAGGGATATTGCTGTAGAATGAATTTTATTATAAAGATTTCTAGCATATACAAATGAAAATATTACTATATTGTAACAGGCATTTTGTTCAGCTGACTTCTATAAGTATATATTCATGCACTCTTTGTGTTGAGAGATTTTAAAGTGAATTAATAATATCAAAATTTTATAATCTTTAGTATATATGTTCAAAAGTCTAATTCTTAGATGGACATTTGCAGGTGGAGTTTTTATTGTGGACACTGGCTTCTAAAATGCACAGGCACCTAATATTAATTATAAATGCTCAGCCATTAGCTCAGGTTTGTTATTAG